GTTGCACATGTGCAGTAACCTGTACATCATGTTTCATATTTGGCCCCCAAAGCATAAATGAAATGCTCGTTGGTTTGTATTTAGTTATGTGTTACCTCTATAAATTGCAAAAGCAAAGGATTTGCCTCTTTTAATTTTATTGCTTCATCATCTCACTGTTTGATAGCAGGGATGAAGTGGTTTATATTGATGCCGAACCTTTGAAAACCAAAATGCTTTAGGAATAAAAAAAAACAAATGGCCTTACTTAAAAAATAAAAACTGTTTAAAAGAGTAACTGTGTTAAAGTAGATGTAGGTAGTACTTAAGGGCCGGTTCACCTCACAAACAGTGCGTTCCAGAGCGGTCAGCTGCTGGAACGCACTGTATCGCATCCAGGCCTGCTTCATGCGATCAGGGGTGGGAGGGGGTGTGGCGGTGCATTGAAGTCAATGGCACCACAGCCACGCTCCCCACCTGCAGTGCGGGTACCCACGTTCCGGTCCAGTGCGATCTGAAAAAATAGTGCTTGCAACATCTTTTCAGGTCGCACTTGAGCGGAACGCAGGCACTGATGTGCCATGCGTTCGGGTGCGGTAATCGCACTGCGATTCGGACTTCAATGCACCGCCATGCCCCCTCCCACCCCTGAACACAGGAAGCTAGCCGGGATGCGATACAGTACGTTCCAGCAGCTGACCGCTGTGGAATGTACTGTTTATGGTGTGAACATGCCCTAAGCCATGTTTGCTTCTGACAATGCATAGCTTGAATGGGGCGGAAAGCATTCACACCCTCTGTCTTTAGGGTTAATTGAACTGCTTGAGCAGCACTCGTGGTTTGTTCACTGACATTTGCTGGTTTTATTCCCAGTGAGCTTGACAACACAGTCAAGTACCAGGGTAAACTTTGGGAGTGCTGCTCATATTATTCAATGACCACTAAAGTGGAATTCTAACTTTTATGTGGGCAGAGACAAATGATGCTTGGGCACTCTGCAAGAAATTGTCTACACCTACTTTAAGAGAACTAGGCAGTTCCATATCTGCACTGGAAATGAAAGCAAATAAAACAATCTGATGGCTAGGAACTGTAAACTTCTCTTTTTTTTATAAATAAGGCCAAACATGTTCATATTTTATATAAGATGAAAGCAAGACCAGCACCAAAATCCCAAACCTTACTGTCACTGATACTTTATCATTGGGAGGAAAACGAAGAAAAAATTGCCAATATTTTGCATCTGCACTGTCGTACTTCAAGGTCTTCTCTTTGTAAGGGGATGTAAAATAATACAAAAGTTTAATAAATTATTTTGGTGCAGGAATTTTTCTGGTTCACATTTTTTTCCTAATATAAATGTTACACTGTTGGAAGATCAGACATAAGGAAAAAGTATGGTTACAGTACACCTATAGAGTTTTATTACAACACACACACCTTAAAACAAGGAAATGCATTTTGCTTGACAAGTTGGACTTGATTCCTTGGTTTGAACGTTTGCTGAATTCAAACAGAAGTTGTCTTGAGATAAATACATAGGTTGCCATTG